GGGGAGGTTGTCACGGGAGAATTTGCTCCAGGCTCAGCAGCGTCAGCAACGCCTGTATGACAGAGGGGCTAGACTCAGGCAATTTTCACCGGGAGATAAAGTGCTTGTATTACTCCCTTCTTCGAGCTTGAAGTTGCTCGCCAAGTGGCAAGGACCCTTTGTGGTCACACGGCAAGTCGGGGACGTTGACTATGAGGTCGCTCGGTCGGACAGGGGAGGGGCCACGCAGATTTATCACCTCAATCTCCTTAAAGCGTGGAGAGAGGTTGAAACCGCTTCTCTGGTAAGCCTGGTTAAGGAGAGAGATGAGTTGGGGCCGGAGGTGCCAAATTCCATCATCCCCGCCTCCCTCCCTTGTGATGACCATCTCACACATGCCCAGAGAGCGGATTTTGTCGCGTTACAACAGCGTTTTGCTGACGTGTTCTCCCCCTGCCCGGCCGGACGTCTCTCATTGAGCATCATTTTGTAACGCAGCCTGGCGTGACGGTGCGTTCACGGCCCTACAGGCTTCCTGAGCATAAACGGCAAATCGTGCAGAGGGAATTGGCTGAAATGCTGAGAATGGGAGTGATAGAAGAGTCGCACAGCGCCTGGTGTAGCCCCATCGTTCTGGTGGTGAAGAAGGATGGGTCTATACGGTTCTGTGTCGATTATCGCAAGGTGAATGAAGTGTCACGTTTTGATGCTTATCCCATGCCCCGGGTCGACGAGCTCCTGGATCGGCTGGGCACGGCCCATTTTTACACGACCCTGGATTTAACCAAGGGCTTTTGGTTGATTCCCTTGTCTGCCGAGTCCAAGCAGAAAACGGCCTTCTCCACTCCGTACGGTTTGTACCAATCTGTCACACTTCTGTTCGGGTTGTTTGGAGCCCCTGCCAACTTCCAGTGCCTCATGGACCGGATACTGCAGCTGCATGCTGTGTATGCTGCTGCCTACTTGGATGATGTTATCATCCACAGTGATACCTGGGCGGAGCATGTGCAGCGGGTGGCCGCGGTCCTGGAGTCCCTGAGGAAGGCGGGGCTCACGGCCAACCCGAAGAAGTGTGCGGTTGGACGGAGGGAGGTACAGTATCTGGGGTACCACTTGGGGGGCGGGCAGGTGCGTCCACAGGTGGAAAAGGCGGCGGCTATCGCATCCTGCCCGCGCCCCAAGACTAAAAAGGAGGTGAGACGGTTTCTGGGGCTGGCGGGTTACTATCGCCGGTTTGCGCAGCTGACCAGCCCCTTAACCGATCTTAGCCGGAAGGGTGCGCCAGATCTGGTTCAGTGGACGGGGCCGTGCCAGGCGGCGTTTGTGCAGGTGAAAAAGGCTCTCTGTGGGGAGCCGCTGCTTCACACTCCTGTCTTTTCCCTCCCTTTTGTTCTGCAGACTGACGCCTCGAACAGAGGGCTGGGGGCCGTTTTGTCCCAGCAGGTGAGGGGGGCCGACCGTCCCATTCTTTACATCAGCCGGAAGCTGGCAGAGCGCGAAAGACGGTACAGCACCGTGGAGAAGGAGTGCTTGGCTATCCGGTGGGCGGTCGACTCCCTTCGCTATTACCTCCTAGGGCGCCCATTCACCCTCTGCTCGGACCACGCCCCGCTACAGTGGCTCCACCGCATGAAGGATGCCAACGCCCGGATCACCCGGTGGTATCTGGCTTTTTAAGTTCAAGGTGGTCCATAGGCCGGGGGCGCAGATGGCGGTGGCCGATTTCCTCTCTCGCTCGCGGGGGGGGAGTAGGTTCGGCCGGTGGACTTCCCGGCCTCAGTCGGGCGGTGGGGGTGTGTGGCGGAGGTGTGGTCCGGGGCGCGGCTGCAGGGGAGGAGTGGTGCAGTGAGCTCAACGGGGCGGTGCTGGTAAGAACAGCTGATGGCGATTTTGGACTGATGGTGGTTTTCCTTCCCTTTATATAGTGAGGCGGAGAGGAGCGGACAAGAGACGCTGGGGAAACCGACCGCTGTCAGACGGTGTTCTGTTGTAATTCAGTGCACACTCTTAATAAATGTGGGATCTGATGACAACGACCTGTGTGTGGGTGTATCTGTGCATAGCGTGTGTCACAGTGAGACTGATAGGTCTTTTTTCTCAAAGAATGAACCACACCATGTGGATGCCAAAATGGTGCAACCAAGGCCAATGCAAAGGAGCCTACTCTTGTACAGGAAATCAGATTTTTCACTCTTCATCTGAGGCACAGCCAAAAAATCCAGCCTGGTCAGGAGATGTCCCCTGATCTAAAGTCTGTTTCAGATCAAGTAGCAATACTTGCAGCCAAGATAGACAGGAAGACAGTATACATGCAAGAAATACATATGCAACACACACAGCAAGACTCCGCCCCTCATGTGTTTTATAGGCTGCTATGAACAGACTTTGTTCTGTGGTGCCGAGCTGTAGATTGACATGAATCTGTTCATGTTCTAATTGGCAGACAAACTCAGAAGTGATTAGAATATTTGCTTCATTTAACATGTTTTTCCAGGCCATATCTTGGTTATAATTAATTGAACTTTTTGTATTACATTTTATGATTTTTTAAATATAAATATGTCCAACAGATAATTCCTCCAACAGATTATCAATATTAATGGACCAATATTATACAGTTTTTTTTCTGATCACATTTCTTGCTTTTCTGCGGCTCCCATAGCTAGATTTTAGTCCCAGTGCTACCCCATTGTATGCACTGTGATCATGTTAGATATGACTGGCTGATCAAGCAGTTCCATAAAGCACTGCTGAACAAAGAGTTTATTTCAGCTCTGTTTGAGTCACAGCTGAGGAATGAGGCTGCTTCGCCTTGTTGAGTCACACATGCACTGCAGATAAACTGGGTGTCTGAAGGATACATGACAAGTGTGTGAAACTGAAAGATAAATATCAATACACAAAAATTCTTATCATTATAATGAAACCAGAACCGTCTGCATAATTGCTGTGTAAACAGTAGAACAGGTTGCACAGGAGCCTGAAGATGTACTGACAAACTCAAACAACAATTTTAATTTGAGTCTCACGTGAAAACGTCACGGTCCTGGGTCGGTGACCCAGTTTTTTGATTTTGTATTATTATTATTATTATTATTATTATTATTATTATTATTATTAGTAGTAGTAGTAGTAGTATTGTTATTATTATTATTATTATTATTGATCTGTGATTTCATTGTGGTTTATGACTTCTAGTGTTTTGGTTTCTGTTTTGTATTTCTAGTTCTCAAGTTCTTCTTTCAGATCTAGTTCTTGGTTTTGTTTCTGTGTCCTCGTGTTTAGTGTAGATTTATTTCAGTCTTCATGTTTATTATCTTCTTCACCAGTTAGTGAGGTCTTATGTCACTACTGTGTCTGTGCTTGACAGGGGATTTCTAAGAATCACCCCACAATTCTTCAGCTAAGACACCTGCACAAACACTGCAGTTGTTTTTTACACGCGAGGACGGTCATAGAGCGCTCGTACTCCAGACTCGCGCTGTATCACTGTCTGCGTTCTTTATTTATACAAGCTTGTGTCTCTGTGTGTGTGTGTGTACAAAGATAACAGAGTTATTCTAAGAACTCAGAGCTGAGGTTCCCCTTTTCTAAGTCTGCATGTTCTTACAGAAAGAGGAAGCTGTTAGTTGTTTATCACACAAGAGTTCATGTCAAAAGTCACATAGACATTTTCTTAGTGATCAATAAAAGAACACATTTCATGAAGCTGATCACACTATATATAATTTTCTTCTGACAGTGCTCCGTGTTCCTTTTTTTGTGTGTGTCAAGTCTGCGTCTCTGCGTTATACTTTCTGTTTTTCTTTGACGGTCCCTTGTCATGTCAGTGTTTCTAGTTTTGCTTCCCCTTAGTTGCGTCATGTTTGATTACTCCCAGATTTGTTCTCTTCTCGTGTCTCATTCCCACGTTATCCCTCAGTGTATTTAAGCCCTATGTTTTCCTTGCTTTGTGTTGTGTTGTGTTGTACCCTTTTCATTCTGTGTTTCTCCCCTTGTGTCCTAACATTCTAGCTCCTGGTTTTGTTCTCTCGAGTCTCCTAGTTTTAGGTTCCAGTGTCCAGTGTTTAGTTTCATATTTGTGATTTTTGTTCATTCTGTGATGTTTATTCCTTTGAAAAGTTTTCAAACTTTTCTTTTCTTTTAAAGTTTGCCTGTAAACCAGTGTTCATACACACACACACACATACACTCACATCTACAAGCATGGAGAAAGAGCAGCAGCAACACCAAAAATACATATAATATCACAAGTCCATGACTAACCAGGGATCCTGGGTCGCTCAGACCCAGGACCCTGACACAGCCAGGCTCCACGTATGTTGAAATCTCAAGTTTCTACATCAATCACATGGGTAAAGATAACAAAATACCCCTTTTTAATTTGTAATACTTCAAAGTAATAGGTCCGAGGTCGGATCACACAAATTAGGAAACAATTTTTTCATATACTACACACTAATAAACATACGAATGTCAATTTCTTTCCTAATTTTCCCCTTGCCTTTCAGGGGGAGCTGTGTTTTTTTTTGGGGGGGGGGGGGGGGGGGGGGGGGGGGGGGGGGGGGTTGGGTTTTTTTTGAGTGCTCCTGATTCTGCATTGGATGGGGTGGGGCTAGTTTTTGACAAAAAATAAGTTTGTCATTTAATGTTTATCATTTTAAAAAATGCAAAAAAAAAAATCTTTCTTTTAAATAGTGAGCTTTAAATGAAATGTAGAGTTAGCATCCAAAGCCAGAGGCCTGAAAGGAGTTTTATATGAAAATCTTTACTTATGATAACTGGCTTCATTCCTCTGTTCATTCAGGTTTTTTGTGAACATTCTTACTGACACTGTTTTCAGTATACCGGTAATAGAAAACAAAGAACAATGAGATCAAATTTGTTCTGATGAACTTGACATTCTAGATTCCAAACAACTGACATAACTAAAGCAAAACATCCGGCATCTAAATCTTTAAATACGTGAACAGCGCCAGTCAGTCAGTCAGTCAGTCAGTCAGCCAGTCAGTCAGTCAGTAAGCAGCTATTTCCAGCTCAGGTAAAGAGGAGTCCTCCAGCTCTGAAGTCTTGAATCTGAGGAGAACCTAAACACAGTATCCCTGTTGTAAGTCTCTCTGATGTTTCATATTTCATATGCTGTTTTGGTTTAGACATTCTGCTAACAAAACATGAAACAGTTTCATTTTCAGTCTATATTCTGTTTTTGTGTTCATGGACATAAATATTCACATTACAAAAAAACACATATTTAGGTATTGTCTATCATAAGGATATTTTTTCCAGATTCTTCAGGTGACACAGTAGCAACCAAGAAGATCCAGCTTTAAAAGACATTTTAACATTTGTGCACTATATTAACCAAGACCATGACCCTATTCTAAATAATAACACATTCAAAAATAACACAAAGAAAGGGGTTTTCACCCACTGCAGACATGTACCCGTGCAGTGCTCAAAAATCCATAATCAATGATGCAAGCATCTGCTAGATGCTGATTGGTTAATTTTAACAAGTAGGATAGAATAGGTAAGGAGGAAACAGTGACATTCACCAGGAATGGGAGAACCATGGAAAAAACTTCAAAGTTTGAAAACTACAGCATGAAAAGCACAGACAGTGGTTGCAGTGGACACTTTTCATTGTTTTTAACATTTGATTTCACTTAAGATTTCTTTATGTTAAAACATCAATTTTCTCTGCAGCTGGCTGACAGACCAACAACAGCACAAGAAACGGTGGTCTAAAGATCCTTTCTGCATCTGACAACACAGCTCGCTACAACCAGACTGGCAGAAAGTAAATGTGTCACCCACGCTGAATCATAAGTCTTTTTAGGGTCTACTCATTGGCAAAGCTTTTCCTTGTAAGTTGCTCAGCTATATACTCTTAATTATATTTCATAATTCGTAATTCGTTTAGGTCTTTCAAATGACATTGAAGTCAGTGATAAACATACATTTTGGGGGGAATTTTTCAGAAAACAGCATTTCTGGTTGGCCATTCCATGATTGGTTTTAACATCTGTGCCATTACAGGCTGCCAGTTTCTTAAAATATTAGAAATCACAGTGTCTGTTACGTTAAATCAAACGGTAATGCCCTTGTTACTTATGCCCATGCACATTTTCATTAAAACGAGCTGCAAACCCATAATAAATTTATTCTTATAATAAGGTTATGTTAAGCCTAATAATCTCTAATATGTTTCATCAGTGCATGACATTTGCATGTGATTCAGCACATCGTGCACTCTAACAGTGTTGATGTGTAGGTTACATTATGTGATAAGTTGTATATAAAGGTCATTAAGCGAATTACATAGACTAAACCTCAGAAATGCATCACTGTGCTTTGCAACATGAAATCATGAAATCACAGTGAGCCAACACCAAGTGAGAGCCAAGAGGAATAAATGCATATTTACTAGTGGTGTGCTATACTGCAAATGTTGGTATCAGCTAGTACTGATACCATTAACGACACTTATACTTCTAAGTTATGAAGCAAGCTTATGTGAAGAAGAACAGTGTGTCATGACTTATGGCATGAATCATCATCAGTTTACAAATTCTGAACACACTTCAATGGCCACTAAATCACTATAATTAGTTAAGAGAAAAAAAACTGAAAGACACTTTTTCATCCATTTTTGTGGAATTTATTTGTTTTGCTGCTGTTTTCACACAGCTGATATAGTATGAGGACAAACTCCTTTGACTTCCTTTGTATGTTTTCTCATTTTCAAACAGTTCAATTATGTGATAAATGCAAACATACCCTAAAACTAACTCTGATTTATTTATATTGTGCTTGTTTATTTAGAGACTATGGATCCAAGCAAAGAACTGGGTTCTCTCAGGTATGAATGATTGATTACCCTCTAACCAAAGGAATATATTACTTAGTATATAGCATAGCTTAGCACAAAGACTGGGATCTGTTAGCCTAGCTTTATCAGAGGAAAAATAAGCTCATCTTTTAATCTGGTTCAAACAGTACTAGAACCTGACAATTGCAGGATAGGACGTTAGAGATGATATAATCATGTGGGTTTATCAAAAGGTTAGACTGTTCCCTTATCAGTCTACGACAATATAAGCGTGATGTCCATGTTAACATGCTAACAGAGAATGCTTGTCTGACCCCCCTTCTCCTTTCAGAGTGGGAAGTGTGGAAGACAATGATCTTACATCAGAGATCAAGAGGCGTAAGTCTGTTGTTAATTTGATTAGTGGAAACAAAGCAGCACATATTCAACCCAACATCACTAATTCACATCTCTGATATCAGGAGTCATCATCCTAGTGTCAATCGGTGAACAGATGATGGATCAATAACTGCAGCTGGATTGTGTTTGTTCTCTCCAACAGATTCCTGTAGACTCACAATCGACACAAAATCAGTGAGCAGGAAACTCGAACTGTCTAACGGAAACAAGAAGGTGGCCTATGTGGGGGGACATAACCTACATCGTTTCCATAGACACGGATTTCATTCTCCTCAGCTGCTGTGTATAAACGGTCTGACTGATCGACATTACTGGGAGGTCGAGTGGAGTGGAGATGTTTACATAGCAGTCAGTTACAGTGGAATCAGTAGGAAAGGAATAACTGGCGACAATGAGTTTGGATCAAATTCTCAGTCCTGGGCACTTGTAGTAAAAACGGGTTCATCCTCTGTCATTGCAAAGCACGATAACACAGAAACACCCATCGTCTCCCACAACAGATTTAACAGAGTAGCAGTGTATGTGGATTATGCTGCTGGCATTCTGTCCTTTTTCAGTGTTTCCTCTGACACTCTGATCCACCTCCACACATTCAAAACCATATTCAATGATCCTCTTTATCCCGGATTTGCAGTCTTTCCTGGTTCCACAGTGATTCTGCCCTGAGTTTAATCTAAAGAGTTTTGTTCTGTTAGAGAAACGATGACTGTTGAACAAATAGTTCAGTGTGCACATGTCTCTCTCTTTCACTCAGAGATGTTTGATCCCTTCATATTTAAATATATATATATATATATATATATATATATATATATATATATATATACATATATGTATATGTATATATATATATTTACAATATTATAGTTTAATCTTTATGAAGAGAATCAACAATCAACAAACCTCTGAGGTTTGTAGTGGTAGTATTTCTTTTACTGTATGTCAGCAGTTGGATTGTTATTTGCTGTTCGTTATATACCATGTATTGGTGACTGTAAATTACAGTGCATTGCCTTGCCATGGTTTATGGCTTGTCAAGCTAGCAAAGTATGAGTACTCAAAAAAAAGTCAGTCATCACTTTGCCTTTTCAAGAGATTTTCAGAGAATGTGGCAGAGCATCCAAACCATACAAGGCCCCAGCACGTATGGGCGTTTTTGACGCCTCTCTACCAGGCGCACTTGTCATTGTGTTAACTGCGTGTGTTGTGTTGTTTATGTGTTACTGGAACTAATTATCATTAAAGTGGAGTTATATTTATAATATACCTGCTTGCATGTGGTTTATTTCCATATACTCTATTTTAATGAACATTTTATATCACACGCATCATAAAGTGAGTGTCAGTAGTAAGTAACACCCTATCAATAGAATTTTGAAGTGTGCGTTTAATATATATACTGTAAAAAGTGGAATATTATTTTCTGTCATGTTATACCCCTAATTAAAGATTGTGAACTATTAGGTAGTTTTAGTTTGCATTATTCTCCTGGATTAGAAGAAGCTGATAACTATTGCATTAGTTAAACTGATTTGCATTACATTAGACTGCTGATTTATTGTGAATGAATGATATTGTTTTATGATGCATTATACTGCTGAGTTATGAGAAATACTGTTTGCAGAAAGTCATTGCCTTATTTGTCTGATTAGAAGAGAACAGAATATGCTGGAGTTTTCTGCCCCATCTCAGCAGGAGCAGATAAACGGGGAGCCAAGGTCGTAGCTTAGGCGCTGTGTGAGAGAAAAGCATGTGAATGTTTAGGTTTTTATGATAAGGTGGAGACACCAGAGGCTATAAAAGTTTGAGCAATGCTCCACCATTTTGAGATTTGAGGCTGTCTGCATACAGTGTCCATCTCCCACGCGTGTGTTCATTAAAATCATCGTTTGACTCAATCCGGCCGGACCAGTGTTGTTATTGTGGTTTTTTCTCTTGTCTCCATCCCCAATTTTGAACTCGTAACAATACACTCTTTATATTGCCGACTTCCTTGACTCACACACTGCCACACTTAGCATAGAGCATACAAGTATGTACAAATAGAGATCACATTGTTATTCTTTGATGGTAATTCTGTGCAAAGTAGAAGCTAACTTCTTGTTAACTTCAAACTCTGTTAAAGTTCATAAATTCTGTTTTCATGGATGCCTGGATGTTAAACTTAATTGTTACACCTGGTAAAGCAGCAACACTGATCACTTTATTAAAGATGAAAGAATTTAGACAGTTTTTAACTATCAGGGATGCCAAAGGTTCGTTTGACTTTGGGAACTGAAGTGGACGGAGTTTTGGATCCAGATTACTTTGCGAGGCTCCTGACTACAGTGGTCGTAATGCTCCAACAATCCATCAAGCGGTGCAGCTATAACTAAGAATGGCACAATATCTACAGGCATATATATATAAACATAAAGGTCACTTATTAATAAATAGCTGAAAAAGAACATGTGCAAGAAGGGTATAGCTGTTGCAGTAAACAGTGTGTTAAGTGGATGAGTTGTACAGGGAGATGGCCACATGCAGGAATGATTTCCTGTGTCGTTCAGTGATGCTTTTTGGTAATCTCAGTCTTTCACTGAACGTGCTCCTGTGACTGACCAGCATGTCATGGAGTGGGTGGGAGGTGTTATCCAACATTGTCTTTATCTTGGACAACATCCGCCTCTCCGAAACCACCTTGAGGGAGTCCAGCTCCATCCCCACAACATTGCTGGTCTTACGAATCAGTTTATCGAGTCTGTTGGCATCTGCTACCCTCAGCCTGCTCCCCCAGCATGCAACAGCATAGAGGACCGCACTGGCCACAACAGACTCGTAGAAAATCCTGAGAATTTTCTGGCAGATGTTGAAGGACCTCAGTTGCCTCAAAAAATAGAGAAGACTCTGGCCCTAAAAATGTATATAAAACTTTTAGACTGATTCTGGCAAACCATTAAGCAATTCAGGAGGTGTAAGCTGTGCTGTACTTGCATTGAAGACAAGTTTGTCCAAAAACTGTTGATACTAAATCTGAAAATTCACATCTTTACCTACAGTTTTTAAAAACTGCAAGACCAAAACAGACGAAGGTTGTAGTTGAAAGTTCAGCTTCACTTGCTCTTCAGTTGACTGAGGAAGTTGAATTCTATTTTTGGTGTCATGAAACTATTTATGAAACCTGTTTCTACTTTAAATAAGGTTTGATTCAGGCACAGATCCACCTCGCTGGCCACATGTAAGGAGTAAGCAAAACTTAGCTAAGATACTGCGCATGTGGCCACCTCATAAGCAACACTTACCACACAGTAGTTGCTCTAACTTCATTGTAGACCCTCCTAATGACTCACTCAGATGAAGATGAGACTGGCAGAGACAGAAGACTTGATGATGAGCGATTGTAGAAACTGTGGTTACATAACTTGCATCATTTCTGGGTTGCAGCTTTTAAACACTGAACCTCTAAAACTGACTAAAACTGAGGCCACTGGTTTGTCAGAGACTTAAGTTTAAGCTCAGATGAATTCAGCTTAAAGTGTCTGTAAGTAAAGTAAAGCGTAAAACTACTCAGTTATATATAGCAGCCTTTATTTCTTTAAGTAACAAAATGCAGGCCCATTGCCATTATGCGTCAGGGCCAATGGGACCTCTCACTGTGGCCTGCTTTCTCTTTACTCCCTCACTCGTTTCTGTTTCTCTGATTATGTCTGTTTGTCTTTCTTTGATCTTTATCTATTTTTCTGTACTTGGTGCATGTGCTTAAGGCTCTACACCCTGGGGTTAATTTACTGTTTGGTTTCACTGTTTACTATCCTTTTGTTTTCTTTAAACAGAAGCTCAATAAACTGTTTCAAAGACTTCAGATTTTCTCCAGAGGATCTTTTTTGTGGGGTTTTTTTTTTTTTTTGGTTTTAATAAGTTGAATCTACAAGTGACATTCCTGACTAAGTTTATTATTTTGGCACTAGATGTTGAGTCTAAAATGTTTTCTCCTGAGGTATATGTGCCATAATTTTATCTAAGAGTACACACTCATGTTAGACTTTTTCTCTGTTTTATTTTAAATCTCTTTCTTCTGTTACTAAAAAAAGGTGGATTTCTGCACAACTCTCTTTATGAAAAACCTGTTTGTTATGGAAAACCCTACCATGTTTTCTGGGTGCAACAATGGCACTCTCTGAATGAATCCAATGTCTCCTCTTTTGATCCCATAAAGCTGTCACAAATTTTACAACAATAAACTTGTGACAGTTTTATCAATAATCAAGTATATCGCATATAGCGTAACACCTTCCTGAATACACACAGAAACACTAGCAATGTGCTCATGATGTGCCTGTGTATTTACACACTGCTGCAGATTTATACTCAAACATCCTATCAACAGTAAGTTTCTGCCTACCGTGTGTGGTCCCTGGCTCCTTAGGCACATCCATCAATATCCATCTGAACCATTTTCTTCAGTTTTATTTCCAATTGTCAAAACCAATGAAATAAAATAAATCAATGAATCAAAAAATAGTGTGTTTGCATGAGCCAAGCATATCTGTGGCTGTTTGTATTCTTTGTTCTGAAATCATCTACCATGTGTGTCGTCAGAGTTTCTCAGTCTGCATTTTCTGTTTTTAAGAACAGAAACAGTTAATGATGTTTCTGAGTCACTTTGTTCTGCACCTTTGCAGACCAACCCAAAAACTGTTATCGTGCGTGTATGCAGGCATTCCAAATGACCATTGTGTTTAACTGCCTGCATCCCCAGAGACTGGTGCTCTGGACAGAGCCTTTCCACAGACTGAGTACCATGCACCAATCCTTGCTTTTAGGTTGGGCCCACCATGCTTCTCCACTTGAATCTTTTTCTGTGGTGAGGCCTACTGGATCCCAACCACAGCTTCATTCAGCTTTCATAGAGGTCTGTGTGTCCTGCAGCAAAGCCCAAGCTGCCAGGAATCAGCTGTGAGCACTGACCAGCCAGTTCTACCCCAGCTGCCTTAGCTTCAAGCATCCCTCAAATCAGCTCCAGTGCTGCTCGAGCCACCTGAGCCTCAAGACCCTACATGACCTGAGCTCTATCCAGTGTCCCCTGCAAGATCTGTATATAGACCTAAGTCCAAGAGTTTGGCACCATCTAGTTCTGACTCCCTCCACCTGTGCATCTTCATCTCCATCTCCTCCAACTTCATGTCCAGGGCATCTTTACCCCTGCCAGCAGACTTTGACCAAGCTACCAGATCTGTCCCGTTGCCTTCGCTGACACTGGCCTCTGGCTAAACCAGAGGTGTGCTTTTATTATTTTCCTTGTTATATCTTTACTTTTCTGCCATTACTTTAAAGGTTTGTGGTAATTGTTCTTTCACTTTAGTTTTGCTTCCTCTGTCTCATCTCTTTGCATGTTTGCCATCAGCCTAAAATAATTTGCTTTTTGTGAAACACACTGTGTCTCTACACATCCACATTTGAGTCCTCAAACATTCGGCCTGCACGTCTCACAGATCTTGACCAGTTAAAGAAGGTCAATGTTCAGATTTACTATAAGCTTGAGATACCTGTGATTTACAGGAAGGGCATTGCTTATCTGAGAACTAATATGAAGCCTCATTTAGGACTTTGTTTTTTACCACTTAGTGTCTAAAGATCTGCTGAGTGAGGGTTTTTAACTCCTTAGTGGTGTAGTTTGTCTCCATGTC